TTCCTGCTGCTTCAAGGGTTTTATTAATAAATTCTTCTTTGCTTGGCATTTCCAGGCTCTTCCAATATTTTGCATACAACATTATTAGCAGAAGTAGTTAAGAGAGCTCTGAGAGAACTTCTCTTGAGAGAACAGCACTGAGAGAACTGTGACTGGCCCAAGGTCACCCAGCTGGCTTCATGTAGAGGAGTGGGGAATCAAACCTCGTTCTGCTGATTAGAGTCCACCGCTCTTAACCACCACACCACGCTGGCTCTCATTTATAATTAGCATTTGTAAAAGAACTTTCTTGATGATCAGAAGCCTTCCTGCATGTTTCCCTTGCCAGATAGATCCCATATTATGGATGAGGCTGAGAGACATGGCTTCTCTAAAGCCACCTACTGAGTTGGTGGCAGGAACGAGATATAAACTGTGTGGTTCTCAATTCAGAGCTCAGCCTCTTCAGCCACCAGCTCTGACAAGGCTATTCTTGGATATCCTCTCTAAAGCCAGTTCTTGTGATAGGCTGGGGAATGTTTTTGTAGATGCAGGCCTCACCTCAGTCTCTGTGTTCATGGGAGGAACACAACACAATTAGGCAGTTCATGGATACGGACTGACCGCAGCTGCTTCTCTGATCCACACTGGGCAAGGAACACACACAAAAGCTCATGGAAATTGTCAAGAGCAGGGAGCACAATAAAACGATGGGATTTATTACCGAAGAAGAAGAAGAGGAGATTTGATTTATACCCCATCCTTCACTTGGAGTATCAGAGCGGCTTACAACCTCCTTCCCCTCCCCCTCCCCACAACAAACACCCTGTGAGGTAGGCGGGGCTGAAAGAGCTCTTTCCAGAATTGCCCTTTCAATGACAGCTCTTGTCAGAACTACGGCTTGCCCAAGGTCATCCAGCAGCTGCAAGTGGAGGAGTGGGGAATCAAACCCGGTTCTCCCAGATTAGAGTCTGCACACTTAACCACTACACCAAGTTGGCTTCAAACGTGGAGTAGTAGCCAGTAGCTTAGATGGCTTAAAAAAAAAAAAAGAATTAGCGAAATCCAGTGAAAATTGACTAGGGCTATCAGTGGAGCCACCATGATTACTTATTTATTTACTTAAATAACTTCATTTATAGCTTCCCTTGGTTAGAGTTTTGGACTAGGATCTGGGAGACTCTGGTTTGAATCCCCACTCTCACATGGAATCTCACTGGGCGACCTTGAGTCTCTATCATTCTAGCCTACCTCATAGGACTGTTGTGGGGATAAAGTGGAGACGGCAAGAATGTTTTAAGTGGTTATGCGTAGAGTGTAAATGAAGTATTAAATTTGTAAAACTACTCAATATTTGATCAGCCAACTGGTCCTTTCATTATTATATGCAGATGACACCACTATTTTATCTTATTTGGAAGTGAGGCTCAGAAGAGCCCTTTGGGCTCTTACAGCCTACTGCAGGGAGAACTAAATACCTTAGGGAGACTCTAAATACCTTAGAGTCTTTACTTTGGCTTGTTTCAACATTTTACTCTCAAATCTGCTGCAAGGGAAACACTTTTAGGTATCCCGGTCTCAGTGCTTGTGGTTTAGCCAGCTGAATGGAGTTGAAACAGTTGCCCATGTGGTACTTCACAGTTCATTTTATAAGGCTATTAGTTTGGTCTGTTCTCTGCACAGATCGACTTAATGAAACCACCCTTAAGGTGGCCAAATTTTTGCAGTGTGGTTGTTCAGTAAAAAAAAGCAGATGCTTCAATTATTTTATTAAACCATTTTGTATTTTTGAAATTAGTGATTAATGAGGTTATGAATTTTTAATGTTTTTACATGCTTTCATTTGTGTTTAGCTTGTGCTGTTACGTCTGTGTTGGCTGATCTTTGATTGTAATACATAACTACGGCTTGCCCAAGGTCATCCAGCAGCTGCAAGTGGAGGAGTGGGGAATCAAACCCGGTTCTCCCAGATTAGAGTCTGCACACTTAACCACTACACCAAGCTGGCTTCAAACGTGGAGTAGTAGCCAGTAGCTTAGATGGCTTAAAAAAAAAAAGAATTAGCGAAATCCAGTGAAAATTGGCTGGGGCTATCAGTGGAGCCACCATGATTACTTATTTATTTACTTAAATAACTTCATTTATAGCTTCCCTTGGTTAGAGTTTTGGACTAGGATCTGGGAGACTCTGGTTTGAATCCCCACTCTCACATGGAATCTCACTGGGCGACCTTGAGTCTCTATCATTCTAGCCTACCTCATAGGACTGTTGTGGGGATAAAGTGGAGACGGCAAGAATGTTTTAAGTGGTTATGCGTAGAGTGTAAATGAAGTATTAAATTTGTAAAACTACTCAATATTTGATCAGCCAACTGGTCCTTTCATTAATATATGCAGATGACACTACTATATTATCTTATTCGGAAGTAAGGCTCAGAAGAGCCCTTTGGTCTCTTACAGCCTACTGCAGGGAGAACTAAATTCCTTAGGGAGACTCTAAATACCTTAGAGTCTTTACTTTGACTTGTTTCAACCTTTTACCCTCAAATCTGCTGCAAGGGAAACACTTAGGTATCCCAGTGTCAGTGCTTGTGGTTTAGCCAGCTGAATGCAGTTGAAACAGTTGCCCATGTGGTACTCCACAGTTCATTTTATAAGGCTATTAGTTTGGTGTAGTGGTTAAGTGTGTGGACTCTAATCTGGGAAAAACAGGTTTGGTTCCCCACTCCTCCACTTGCAGCTGCTGGATGACCTTGGACAAGCCATAGTTTTGTCAGAGCTTGTGACGGATTCCAAAAAGGGAACACCTAGAGAAGGGCGATGTGCAGACATAGGGCGGGGTGGAGAAATGGAATGTTCGGGAGGTTGATGGACAGAAAACAGACAGGAGGGAGATGGGGACGGAGAGTGAGG